CCCCAAAACCCCAAAACCCCAAAACCCCAAAACCCCAAAACCCCAAAACCCCTTTGAGAGGTAATCGCATGGAAATTTAATAAAAATAATCTCATTAAAATGTCATACAAACCTAAAAATAAGAATCAAGTCAAAAAGAAATTCAAGTCACAACGAGGCAGAGGTGATCATAAGTAATAACACTGATACCTTTAGTAACCAGGATTAGAACTTTTAGTAATATTTAAATTAGAATTTGGCATTTCTGATAGCAAGCAGCATTAATATGCTTCTTAAGATTCCACTATAACTGGAAGACTGAGTAAATGCTTCTATATAGACCTCATAATCAGCATACAAATAACCAATGGGATGACCCGAACTCTTCAGACGTAATGCTGGGTATGCCAACTCCAACAGACTCAATGGCAGAGCCATTAGTCTTAGGAGCAGATGCGAGTAAATAAACCAATTACAAGAGGATTTAAGCCTGGTGACAAAAGGAAAGAAAAGCATTATAAAAATAAGCAGGAGGAGTTTTCCAAGGTTAACAATAACGATTCGTTTCCTACCCTTGGATCTGAGGTACCTGCAAAGACCAATAAGGAAGTAAGGAAAGAGAGCTATGACAATCCTTCAAAGACTCAAAATAAAGTTCCCCGGGAAAACACAAGAGATAATAAAGCTGAGGAACCTTCTCGATATCAATCCTCTTCTCCTGTCAAACCTCCTACCGGTAAATTAGATGGCCAGAGTGAGTCATAATTCCATGTCTTCTAATTTTTTAATCGCTAACAATTTTTGTTTTGATTACATAACATATATACAGATAAGACAGAGGCAATGACTCCTCCACCCAATATGGCTCATCTTCCTAATAATTTATCAAACTCACCTCTTCATATGCCTCAGGCAATGTTCCCAGGAATGGCTCCGAATATGCCAAATATGATGCCAGGAACTTTTCCAAATCAAAATATGCAAATGCCGATGATGGGTCAAATGATAATGATGATGCCACAGATGGGAATGACTCCTCAACCATTTATGATGCAGCAACCAATGGCACCTAATGTGAGCATGGTTCCAGGACAGTCATCTCCTGATTCCAAAAGCAATACCAAAGCTTCACCGACTAACAATGAAAATAATTTATCATCTCATCAGAAACACCCAGGCATTGAAAAATAAGCAGGAAAAATATCTTCCTCAAGATCCTGCAATTACCTCTCAAAATATTGGTTCTTCAACTTTGCCTTTCGATGACCCGGCTATCAGTATTCCAAAGATGGAACAAAGACAGAACACTGTGCCAAAACCAGAGGTGAAAGAAAAAATGGCTAAACCACCTCCAGCTAAGCCTGAAGGAATGCAGCCTCCTCCACCTCCTTTTCACAATAGTGGGAGTAATCAGCCACCAATGGCTCAGGTTGATCAGAAGCAAGGATCCCTTGAAAATGAGCAAAAAGTAAGATCATCTACTCAACCCCAACAGCAAAAGCCAGCAATGCCAGTTCCTCTTCCTGCTAAGAAGCAAGCAGAAGAGGTGCCGTTTGACCTTATCATAGAAAGTGATTTATCTCTTCGAAAAAGACTAAAATGGCTCAACACAAAAGAAGAGAAGCTAGCAAAAATAGGCTCAATAGCTTTAGAAACTTATGACGACATATTCACTGAGCTTGAAGAAGAAATTGAAAAGGCTGAGCAGCAAACTCTTGCTCAGATTGATCAGCTAGAGTACAATCCCGAGATAGTCTCTTACACAAAGGAAAGGGACATTCACATCATGAAGGAAAAGGATCCTGTGAGAATTTCTGCTGACTTTGAAAAATACTTGAATACTCTACTGAGGACAGATGTCGTAATCAGACAAAGCTACAGAAGAGATGCATACTTTAAGATCCATAGTTTTCAATGGAAATCAAGGCAGATCCATACTTATAATCTCATAAGTGGGGAGCTAGAATCGACTTTGATAGATGCAAACTTTAATATCCCATTATTCTCAAGATCAATTGCTATAGAGAATGGAGATATTTATCTGACTGGTGGTTTAGTGAAGCCATATTATCTCAAGACAACTTTCTTCCTTGATGAGGCCTCTAGTACACTTGTAAAGAGAGCAGACATGAATTTACCAAGAGCAGATCATTCTTTGATTTATCTTGCAGGATATATCTACGCTATCGGATCTTATGTTCATAATAAGTGCAATAACACCTGTGAAAGATATGATATTTATAAAAATAAGTGGACTCCAATTGCTTCTCTCAATATTGGAAGAGCAGGTGTGGGACTCTGCACTGTCGACAATACATATTTATATGCATTTGGAGGGAGAAATGAGCAAAGAGTTATACTCTCAGCTATTGAGTGTTACAATATAGCAACTGATGAATGGAAAGAAGTAGAATTCCAACAAAAGGATAACTGGATCCCATGTTATATGAGTCTTGCTCATCAAATTTCTGAAAATGAAATTATAGTATTTGGTGGAAAATCTGGTAAAACTCAACTTGTTTCAAAGGAAAGTTACATCTATAACATTGAAACTCAAGAATTTATCGATGGGCCGGCTCTCAGAAACCCCTCTAGCTTCATGAACTCTATAATCTCTTGGAAAGATCATCTTTATGTCTTCGGAAATGATGTTTATATCCATAGATTTTCACTCGTGGATCAATCTTGGTCTATCAAAGACAAACATCACACGAACACCGAGCAGATTCAAAAATGGCTCTAGACAAGCTCAGTAATGGTGGTTTACCTAACAACAAGGCTAGACCTAAACTTTCAATATGGGGCTCCTACAAAGGGGTTTTGGGGTTTTGGGGTTTTGGGGTTTTGGGGTTTTGGGG